GTCCAACACCACTCTTTCTCATTCTCGTCATCCTGATTGCACATCAAGCCACTGACTATGTTTTTTTTGGTGTAATGAGTTTATTTTGTTTTTTTATCCTTATTGAATTTAATATTCTGTTTGTATTGTTTTCACTTCCTCTCTCGCTGCGACCATTTTTTTTGTTTTACTAGGAGTTTATGTATGACTTTATGACTAAGTTATAATTTCGTGTTGTTATTCTTTGAAAAGATATATATGTATTTGAATATGTCTTGGTTCTCGTTTTAGTGCTATGTCTGTAATTATGTTTTTTTGTGTTTTTTTGAGTTTGATGTTATATGTGTTCTCTTTGAGTCTTTTTAGTGTTTGTTTTTTTTTTGTTAGTGTGTTTTTTCTCAATCTTTTTTTTTTCACTGATATTTTTTGTTTGCCGGGCGTGAAGGGCACTTCTGTAATCCAGCTACTGGGGGGCTGAGGTAGGAGAATCGTTTGAACCCAGGGGCAGAGGTTGCAGTGAGCTGAGATCGTGCCACTGCACTCCAGCCTGGCCCTATAACAGCAAAACTGTGTCTCAAAAAAAAAGAAAGAAAAGAAAGCATGTTTCCTTGTGAGGTCTCTCAGAGTTCACACCTGCATCTTGTGCGTCATTCTTGCACAATTTTTATAACCTTTTATCAACAAGTACTCTGAAAAAATGTTATGTTGAAGTTATCAACAATATCTGGCTGGTAAAATATTACATACTATATCCCTGGGTATATACAGAAATGTTGGTTGTTGGACTTGTCTAGATCAGCAGCTTCGAGAGTCAGGCTGTTGAAAGAGATAGCACATAGGTTAAAACAGCAAAGGCTTTTGCTGTGGGTAGAAACTAATTGGCTGAAAACATTAATAAATTATACTTGCTATTCATGTCAAGAGAAAGCTAAGAAAGAAGGGATGAATATGTGTATCTATGAAGGCATTACACTGTGACGCATGATATTAAAAAATAAAAAGCATATCCTTTGACTTAAGCTCTTCTTCCTATGTTAAGAAATAGAAATAGAAGCTAAGTTCCTACCATTTACTTGGCAATGCTTTCTTGGGACTATTATAACATGTTTTAGATTTGGCATTTTCAGTCAATAAAATATTGTTAAGATGGTTGCCGAGGAATTCACATAAAATGTACGTAAAATGTTTATTACTGGGACCACTGCCTGGGTTTATGCTAAAATGCTTTCAGTAAAAACCCTCTAAATTCAGAGCTAATTCTTTCCCTTTATTTTACGTTTCTCTATTAGGTACCTGTAGGCTACACACATTGGCCGTAGATTGACTGAAGTCCTATTCCTAAGACAGAAGATTCTAGTATGATGTCAGTTAAAAACTTAACCAGATTAGATACTGTAGACTACAATCTTTTACAAACAGATTGATTTTTCTTTCCAAACCTTTTGCAAAATTTCTGTAAGAGAGACTCATGGACTTGGAAAATTCTCTGTGAAGCTGCTTTTGGCAAAGTCCTGGCAAAGAAACACTTTTGCTGTTTCAGATCCTATTCTTTGAGCCTCAACTTGCTATTCTCATTTCGTGCTATTCGGTTTTTTACTCCTCTGAGGTCTCTATGAATCTCCACTGTTTTGGATCTCTGAGTACTTACATCATCCCACTTTAAGACTTGTTTGGATATTCTTTTTTAATTTATTTTTTATTTCTTTTTTTTGTTTTTTTCCCCATCCAGAACTCATGTTGAGTGGTTGGATATTCTCCTGGGGTGCTTTGGTGTTTTCTTGACTTGTTCCTAACGTAAGTTCTGTTAAAGTGATTAGTATCCCTGTTTTGGAATCTCCCCTCATTCTCTACAAGCCCCTAATATAATAAATCCATAATAAGTGTTCAGTTAAGTAGGTTGCATGGTTTGGACGTCTATCAAGGGGCTAAAGTTGAAGGATGGTCATATTTTGTGCTTTGCACATTGAATTGAAAAGTTAGCTGCAGACAGATAACTAAGTCAAAAGTCCTAGATTGGAGTCTCATCACTGTTGCTCAGTTGACCTGGTGATCTTTGGTCTGAGATTCACCTCTGTCTTTACCAGTGATTTATGAATCCCTAAGTTTTCTTTTATCCCAAGTGTTCTAAGATAGCTTGATTGCTCTATAGTAGTGGTTTTCCAAGTGTGGTACCTAGATCAAGAACAGCATCATCTTGGAACTCATTAAAAATGTAAGTTATTGGACCCTATCACAGAGCTACTGAATTAGAAACTCTCAAGCTCGCAGACAAGCCCTCCTGGTAATTATGATGCACGATAAAGGCTGAGAACTACTGATCTGGAGTATGGTCAAATCTGTGGTATAGAGAAAAGCTCTATACCACAATGTTAGCAGACATTGAAGATTGTGTAGCAATTTCATGATGGGCATTTACATCTAGTATCTCATGTTTCAGCTTTCAGTCTCTGTAGAATGGCTCACCACTGCACCATATTCAAGTTTCCAGGGACTACCCACAGGATTGCAGCTTCCAAGCTCCTATAAAGTACTGGCAATTCAGGAGTGAAAAATGTTTCTTAGGGTGTACAAAGAATATGCAATGGACAAGGGATTAATTTCCAGTGGCAGCCTCCTAATTTTGTATTCATAACGTTGTATGCATGCTAGGCTACACATGCAACGTCTGCTGATATACATTAGGTAATTGGGCATCCAGCAGCCCCATTTGCATGCAAAGGCTGTTGCACACCTCACATTTGCAAGTCTAAAATTAAAGCCCAGTTTGAAGCTGGCTGAAGGCTAGCTGCTGGAAAAATAATGAGATAAGGAAGGAAATGGCTTCTGTTGATCAGTGCTTTTGGCCTCTACCGTTCAATCTTTGCTAATTTGCCCTTTGAAATGGTATATTCAGGTAGAAGAGAGAGACTTCCAAGAGTATCTGGGTGGATTTTTTTTCCCCCTTCTTAAATCCTACAGTTATAAGCTGGTTGTGTTTATCCACAGCATTTCTCTTAAAACTGTACCTACACGTATGCTGCAGTCTGTTACTGTGCTATATTTTTGCTTAACGGAGTATTCATGCTCTTGTGGGATCACATGTATCATCTCAAAAAGGAGCCACCCCAACACAGACTCACAGGCTAGGTCTGTAGCATCATTTTATTTTAATTCAGCCCACATTTATCAAGCAGCCAGTGTCTTTGTGCCAGACACTGTGCCAGGGGCTTGGAATACATAGCAATCAAGCACATTCTCTGCCCTCAAAAGCTCACAATATTTTAACAGCTTCCTAGTGTCATGGAGTTGAATATTTTTGCTTAAAAAGTCTTCCCTGATCCCCCTGTTTGAAATGACTCTTTGCTTCTCCGAGCCCCTGATTATGCTCAACCTGTGTCCCTAGAAGAAGAGACCCAGAGGACATAGTCCTAGAAAAGTCAAAGCCTAAAAGCCAGTTAGCTACTCAGGTCATCAAGAGGAGGTGGCTCCATTGCAAATGGCCTTTATGCTCAGTCTGTGGGAACAAAAAAGGTACCAATGTTTCCTGTACCTCGGTGTGGTCACACGGAAGAGAATGCCAATCTAAAGCAATCTTAAAGGAATTTACTCACGAGCACCACCTAGAGGAATGGTGGAGCCCTACAAGGACAGTATACCAACTAGTCACTTGTCACTCTTCATCGAATTTTTTATATTTCCATATTTGGTCATGTCCTTTGTTTTACTTTGACATCAAGATTGTGAGGTCCCAGAGAACAGACCAGGGTCTTAAGAGGATTATCTTTCATGGTGCCTATTTGATGGTAATGATCATAAATACAGTATAATAGAAGGAAAAATATCTGGTGGCTTATATGCATTGGTAGTTTCTCATGGTAATAAGCATTTTTTTCTCTTCCTTTTAGCACAAGTGCATATACCTTGATAGCACCAAATGTAAACCGGAGAAATCAGATACAAAGAAGTACGTATAGCCATTCATTTAACATTCAGAATGCTTCTCTCTTTTTACAATTGGTTTATTTTGGTGTGAAGTATTTTTATTTTCTGATTTATATAGACTCACCAAATCTCATAAAGTTTTTTTTTTTAAAAAAAACATCAGCAGTTTTGATTATACCTTTAAAAATATTCTATTAACACTTCTAAGTTTGTTTCTCTACATTAGTAACAGAACTCATGACACGATGGTAGATCCTGGATTTCTACTGGCTTGAACAACTTTACACTTATTGCCAATAAACCTCCTTGAGGGCAGGGACCACATCTTACTCGTTTTTGTGCTCTCTGTACTTAATGTGTGCATAACATGTTTAATTGATGTACGGTAAATATAAATGCTGCCATTTAAAGTTATAGCATTATGCTTTAGAGGTGGAAGAGAACTAAAGTTCACTTAGTTCACAAAGAAATAGTAGGCTGTTCAAGTCCAGCTGTGGGGCTATGCTGAAATTCGATGGTCTCCTTTATTAGATAATTGGTACAAAATTTAACTTCATGACTAATGATGGACAGAAAGGCACAAAAGGGAAAAAGTGCTCTAAAGAGTCCCCACCAGACATGTAGTCCCGGGTGGGACAGTGGGTTAGTGCAGAATATGACAATCACAGCCATGCAGGGACTAGGGGAACTGCCAGCCGATCTGGTATTTTACAAGCTTTTGATTTAAATACTTAACAGGAGCTTAAGTCTCAATGTGGTCTGGATTCTGAAATGTTTCAGAATTTGTTTTTCTAGTAATGGACATTTGAAACAGGTCTCATGAGGAGATAAGGGAAGGCGCTGGAGTGACAGAACTAGTTTCTCTCTGGCGCCCCCTGCTGTCGTGCACAGTGAACATTTAGGAAATGAGCACAGCTCCCCCGGAAGCCGACTCTGCATGGCGGTCCGGAGTGCCCGAAACCAGAGCCAGGGTCCCCACCCGTGGCACCGAGCCCTCGCTCCCTAGAGTTGCAGTAAGCTTGGGGAGCATTGAACATAAAGCGAGTATGGGCATCAGAATTCTCTGGGGATATGTTTACCTGTGTGTGGAAAGTTCTTATTGACATGAAAATATTCTAGTTTTGCACACATTATCTATAGGAAACTTTAAAAATTAACTTGATACAGAGTTTTAAAAATGCCAGAATGGTAGGAAAAGCTATACTTCCTTGTTTTAGTAGGAGCCCAGGTGGTTTTTCAAATTTGAACCCTCTGTGCTGATTCTTGGTGAGAAGTGCCACAGGGCCGGGCCCAGGGTGACACATAGGGGTCAGGGCTGAATATTGTGTTTCTAACCTGGAAGTCTTGTTCACTCATGCTCATATGTAGTTAATTGCCTTCTAATAGTTGTTTCTTATGCTTCGAAGGGACTGGTTTTCTTTTAGAAGTCTAGTAACTGACGATTTGATATTTCTCACCTGGCTTAGTTGCGGAACAGGAGCTGGCCAACCTGGAGAAGTGGAAGGAGCAGAACAGAGCTAAACCAGTTCACCTGGTGCCCAGGCGGCTAGGTAAGCAAGCACAGCCACTGCCTGAATGCGGGAGGGCAGGGCCCCCTATGGATCCTGTTAGCAGTTTGCATATGTCTGTCTGTGAATGTCCATTGTAGTTTGTTTGGTCATTGTGCTGCTTGGGTGGAATGCATTTAATGTGTGTGTGTGTGTGTGTGTGTGTATATATACATTTTTTTTTTTTCCTGATTTTCTGCAAGTAGCAAACCTGTAATGCCAGAGTTCTATGGGAACACAGTGATGGCTTAATTGCCAAATAATTTAGAGCCTCTTAGATGATTGACTCTGAAGAAAGCTTACCTGGGGCGCTGCATATGCCCTGTCATAGCACTAGTCAGGATGGGAGTAAATGCTAGGACGAGCATATTAATCATGGTAGTTAAATGTTAATCTGAAGAAAAGGAGTGGAGAGTCAGTTCCAAGAGGAAGATGAGAGTGAGCTAGAAACCCGGTGGTGGGTAGAAGAGAAACATCACCTGTGTTTTTATTCTACAGATAGAGACCTCTGGGCCTCTGGAGCAGGTGCTGCCAGTGTGATGAATTGTCTGGGCCGCCTTTGCTGGTGTTTGAATCATTCAGAGGGGATGCCACCTAATGGGAATCATTCACATCTCTTCTTTGCTTTTTCTCTTCTAGCAGCAGCTGAAAATTTAAAGGGTTGGACACACAGTGTCCACAGATTTAGTTAATACAAGCAAGTCTTGTGTCACGGGCCACTTTCTGTTGCAACAGTTTTAGAGCAGTTCTCTCACCCGCCCCCCCCCCCACCACCCCGCCAAGAACATGAGAACATAGGTAAAAATCTAATTTGGAAATTATTTAATGAGAGGAAGTAATAGTAATATTATCATCATCCCACTGTATTTCATGAAAAGGGCTAATCTCAAGTGCCTCCTTTGTGCATATGAGCCAGACTCGAAGGATACAATCAGAAAACAGCTTTAATATCTCCTAACTTGGCCCCTGAGATTGGCTGTGTGAGACCAGTCTTTCCCAGGCTTTTTGGATGCTGTAAGAAATTAAAGCTTTTTGGTCTTTCTCAAACAGTAGAGTGACCTAGCTAATTCTAGGCCTAAAACAGTCTCGTTTCAGTAATTAATGTTCAGTCTTAGGTACTGATCAAAATTCTGTTACTAATGGAGATGAGAGCTGCTGCCCTGCTCTAACCCAGGCCTGTTTCAGGTAGGAATCTAGCAAGTGGAACAGGGTGTGGCTGGACTTTTCTCTATTCACTGTTCTGTTCCCAGATTCTGACCTTTCTAGGGTTGAAGCGGGAAGTGGAGATAAGAGAGGTCGGGGTTCGTAGTGCAGTGATCCTGGTTTCTTTGAGCCTAGGTTTGCGCTGACTGCTCATTCTCCTTCCTGGGATTCTTCGAGTTTTTCAGCATCCTCCACTCTCTGCCACCCATCTCCCACCTGGAATTCCCTGATATGATTTCCTTTCCTGTCAGCAGGGCTTGGCCTCACTGTTGGCTCTTGGTAGACTCCTTTTAGGGTTCCATTGTTCTTGACATGGCCCTCATAGGCAAGTCCCTTTACATGGCTTTATGTTGGCATTCTCTTTCATGAGAATAATATTAAAAGTACAGGGAATACTTGTGCATTCTTTCTTTTCATAAACTGTGAATACGGGCCATTTATAATGTAGCTACCTCTTCTTGAGGACTCATCTCAGTGGCCAACTGACAACAGCCTTATACCTTTAGGCTCTAACTGTTCTAGGTATGAATCCACTAGGACCCTCAGACTCTTAAAAATGCAGGTTGAGGTCTCCAGCTGATTTTCATTAAACCTCTCCTGCTCATCTGATGTGAAGATTTCTCCTTCCTCAAAACACAGAAGAGAGGCAGAATGACATCTTTCCTCCGATTTCTGCCTCCCTTTGGCCTGACCAACCTCTTTTATAGGGTGAAGTTAGTTAAGGTTCCCCAAGGTAGGTTTCAGTTATCTCCTTGCAGATCCTGCTTTGAGGGGCCATTACCTCACTTTGGAATTTGAAGTGCTTGGCATCTGTTGTCTTGAAGTCTTAGTAGAAAATGAGCAGGATTCTCATTTTGACTTCCTGTTATATGCATTAGCTAGGGATAATCAGGTATGTGTGTGTGGGAGGGGCTTGGGGGTAGAGAAGAAAATTCTAGAATGTATTAAACTTTGAGATGAGTTTTGAACAAAACTTGTAAATGCTTAAACATCTGACTTCCTCCATTTCTTCGAATTTTCAACTCCTCCTCTACTTCTCTACCCCTTACAATATTGGAATGGTTGCAGGAGATACTAAAACTTGCTGTAACATTAGAGAAAAGCGTCAACATTCCTCACTGTTTTGAAAGAAACATCCCCCATTCCCCACAGTAGCAGTCAAAAGGCCAACACCAAACAGGCCTATCTTTTGGATCTCAGAAGAAAAGTCCCTATGGTATCTTTCTCAGTTCAATTATAAGATCTATAGTGAACACAAATTGTTTTAATGCATCTTCTATGAGAGTGAATCTTTCAGAGAGCTGACACTTTTAGTGACCAAAGCACCAGAGAATTATTTCAAAGGAATCTTTATAATACGCACACTGAGCTTGCATAAACAGTGAGGATTCCCTAAACAGCAATTCTTAGATGATTGTCAAGCTGCCTCAAATTCTTTTAGGTTTAAGAGAGAGCAAGTAAATCATCTCACATCCACATTTTTATTTTGACTATATAAGGAAAGAACAATAAATAGTATGGATCAGTTACTAACTGGAATATTCCCATTGTATTTTTAGAAACTGGGTTATAAAGACTACATACTTGTCTAGTGGCAAGACCTCTGAGAGCTTCCTGAGCCTTGCTGCTTGAACATAAAGCAATAGAGTTAGAAGAAGAAAAGCAATAGAAGCACCTTTGATCACCGTCTTTACTAGGTTCAGGCATGGTCATATTCAAGCAGGAAGAATATTCTACAATTTCCAAGACAGGCATTATTTCTTCTATTTAGCACAGACCTTTAGGTATGGTTTCAATCCAAGTGAAAACTTTAATACCTACATGATTGGAAAACTTTAGTGAAGTGCTCTTTTGTTTTAAAAATGTGGCCTCCTCTTTCTATCCAGCTCTCTCTTCTAAGTAATTCTTCTTCTTTAAGGTCTTATTAGGAAAACTGGTTATGTTCTTATTTCCAAGAGCATGAGAATGTTAAGGAAACTCATGTTACAGATTTATTATGTATTAATTAGTCCTCAATGGCTGACATTTCAGCTTAATATTTATATTTCACCTTTGTGGATTTTTTTTTTCCTAAGGTGGAAGCCAGTCAGAAACTGAAGTCAGACAGAAGCAACAACTCCAGCTGATGCAATCTAAATACCAGCAAAAGGTCAGAATTCATCTCTTTTAGTTTAATTTTGGTAAGGAATATAAGTACCAGCTCTTTCAAGTAACCGTGAAATAACACAGTAACTTTACCAAAAGCATAAAACCTTCCAACCAACTGCAAACAGCAGCTTTCAAAATCAAAGCTATCACGAAGTGAGAAGTGAAGAGATGGATACCTTCAGTTCTTACCCAAGCCCTTTATCACTCAGTAAGACCCTCTATTAAGGGAATTATTTTTCTCATTTAAGTTAACTATGTTTAACTATAGTTTAAAGTCTACTATGTTTGGAATGTTTTGGCTCTAAGAATGTGGATTTGTTTACTGAATGCCAGTCATGGAAGTAGTACAAAAAAGATTTAAGATTCCCAGCGATTTTTACAATGAACACTGACTTTTGTAATCAGGAAAAATTATTTTCCCTTTTCCCTCCCCAATACACACACACACACACACACACACACACACAGAGAGAGAGAGACAGAGATAGATAAAGACAGAGACATTGAAAAAGAGACAGACCAAGGAAGAAACACAAAGACAAATTTCACAGGCAGAAGATGTAGCCCGGCCATTCTCTGTGATCTAAGTAGCTTGAAGTAACAACCTATAATCATGGTGAGGTATAGCACAAACAATACTGTAATTTGCCTTTCATCATAATTTTGTGTTCCAGGGTTCAGACTGAAAAATGGTAACTGTTTTCGTTCTCTGTAATTTCAATACAATTTAGCTAAAAAGAGAAGAATCTGTAAGAATCAAGAAGGAAGCTGAAGAAGCTGAACTCCAAAAAATGAAGGAAATTCAGAGAGAGAAGGTGAGGAGGAGGAGGGTCAGTTCACATTTGCTGATGAATAATTATAGTTTCATTGTAGAAGATTTTTATTACAGGGACTTTAAAAATTTACCCATCTTTTTCTCTCTCTCTGTTTCTATTCCCCACCCTTCTTTTCCTTATCCAATTTTTTTCCTTCCATTTTACCCTTCAAAGGAAGATTCATGCTTAGGTCTTGTGATTTTAGAGGAGGTATTCCCTTTATGGAGCATAGTCTGTATTTCAGGTAGAACAAAGACAGTCGTTAAGTCATCACCAGGAATGGGGTGAAGAGGCTTGCAGACCCTTAATAATTATTGCATTACAACCTCTTGTCCTAAAGGTCATTTATTAGTTGTCAGGTAATACCCATAACTGGCTGGCATGTGGGTCATTTACAGCTAATTTCTTCATGGGTCAATAGTGTGCACTATTCATAAATGTGTGTAGTTGAAACTGTTTTCTTTCTTTCTTTCTTTCTTTTTTTTTTTTTTGAGACAGGGTCTCACTCTGTTGCCTAGGCTGGAGTGCAGTGGTGTGATCACAGCTTTGTAGCCTCAGTCTGCCTGGGTGTCAGGCATCCTCCCCACCCAGTCTCCTGAGTAGCTGGACTACAGGTTAATACCACGTAGCTATTTTGTGGTGTGTGTGTGTGTGTGTGTTTTGTAGAGACAGGGTTCACAGTGTTGCAAGGCTGGTCCGAACTCTTGGGCTCAAGGGATCCACCTGCTTTTGGCCTCCCAAAGTGCTGGGATTAAGGAATGAGCCACATGCCTGCCTAACTGTTTTTAACTTGTCTTAAAGTGGTGTGTTTTTTTTTTTTTTTTCGCCTTTCCAGTAAACATAGATAACTGTAATGTCTATTGGCATAAATGTTGCCAGGATGTGAGAGATGGGGAGAGAGAGTTGATCTGTAGACCCTACCCATTGAAAATATGGCCCTTGAACAAGCAACATTGGCATCATCTGGGAGTTTGTTAAAAGAGCAGAATCTTTAGCCCTACCTCAGACCTACTGAATCAGAATCTGCATTTTAACAAACTCCACAGGTAATTCTTGTGCACATAAAAGTTCGAGGAGCATTAATTTAAATGACCTTGCAAAAGAAGGAGTGACCCATCCTTGTTCTTCCACAGGTGTGATTTCTCTGGCCGACTGGCCTGCACTGTCACTATGATCCCAGCCTTCCCTGCTGTAGATAAATCTGTAGCTTTTCATGTTAAATGTGAGCCTAGTTAGTAGCTTGTGTCAGATAAGAAAAATGAACATTAGCCATCTAGAAATGAGATATTTCACATTGCCAGTGTGGAAATGGCTGAGGGAAGTGATAATGGCTGTGCTTATGGAGCACTTATTTTTTAAAATGCACAGCAAACACACACACGGACATCAGCCTGTAAACACACTGCCCTCCTCCCTAGGCAAATGGCTGCTGCCCAGAAAACTCTGAGCCACGTAGAATCCAAGCAGCCCACTGTCGCCCAAGAGCCTCTAGCTTTGTCTCTGACTTTCCCCCCACTGGCCGCTGGTCCCCTTCTGCCTTCATTTCCTTCTCTCCCAAAAGAAGTCAGGGGGCATTGGGTCTCATTCTGATTGGTCATCATCTCTGTGTGCAGCATTTCGTGAGGGAAGAGTAGACTGGATTCCTTGCCAGCATTTGTGCATGTTCTTTGATCCTTCATAGTCAGAAAGGTGTGAAAGTCAACCAGCTCTTTAGTATTCAGTCATGTCAGGCGGGCCCATGAAGAGTTAATCCTATGGGTAAAAGGGGAAATTTGGAGACAGCACTGGTATACTTCAGTTGTATTCAGTTCAGGAATGTAACTTGCATTCCCTAGACTAGGGTCTGTCACAGTATATATACTTCGAGTGATGTGCTGTAGCTTCCTGGTACTGGCTTGTACTGTGAGAATTGTGACATTTTCAGGATTTTTTGAGCTACTTGGCTTCATCATTGTCAGCTTAAAACCGACTGTGCTGGAAAATATTTATGATGTGGAAATCAGTAAATGCTACAGATTAATTTCCCCTCCTCCTACCTGCTAGACCTGATTAAATGTTGACCAGCACACCACTGCTTAGCACTAAATGAAAAAGGTATTTTCTTACCCTCTTCTACCATCCACATTCTAAAGCCAAGTCTCAGAGGGCTAGGGAGAGCAAAGATTTGGGGAAATAGCTGGCCTATTGTGTGTTTGATATTTATTGATTTAAAAATAGATTATAATTCATGTAGTTGGCAGAATAATGCTCCACCCCAAGATGTCCACGTTCTATCCGTGGAACCTAGGAACATGTTTCCTTACATGGGTAAGGGGATTAAGGTCACAGGTGGAATTAGGGTTGCTAATCAACCGACCTTAGAGCGTGTATCCTGCAATATCCAGGTGCCCAATATAATCACAGGGGCCCTTAAAATTGGAAGAGGGAGCTAGAGAAAGAAGAGATGATACCAGGAGAAAGATTCAGCCCACCACTGCTGGCTTTGAAGATGCAGGAAGGGGCCATTAGCCCAGGAACGTAGGTAGCCTCTAGAAGCTGGAAAAGACCAGGAAACTGATTATTTTCCTTTGAGCCTCCAGAAGGAACGCAGCCTTTCTGGCACCTTGATTTTAGCCCATTGAGACCCATTTTGTACTTCTGACCTCCAGAGCTGTAAGATAATAAATGTATATTGTTTTAAGCTGTTAACTTTGTGGTAATTTATTACAGCAGAAATAGGAAACTAATACTACTCATGTGGTTTTATAATGATGATTGATTTCTTATCCAAGAAATCTATAAAGCAGAGACAATGTCTCTAAGACATTAGAGCATTAGAGTAAAAAAGCAGTCTACCAGATGCGAGTGTTTTGCCACTGGTTCTTTCAGCATAAATAGACAGATTTTCCTAACTCCCCACAGCAAGCATTTGACCCAAATTTAGTGCTATGGGAGTAAATCACATTTTCCCCCCATAATCACATGATAAATAATAATTTTATTTTCCCATACTTTCGTGATACCCACAAACCTAAACTATGAAATCTTCTAACTCCATTCTAAAGACTCTATTTCCTAGGTTCATCTTACTCTGCTTTTGATCTACATATGTTTGAGATAATATGCAGTATTATATAGTTTCCAAATACAGCCACCCTTTAGATATGGGAGATTGGTTGCTGCCTCCCCCACCCCCGCAACACAATGGATACCAAAATCCTATATAAAATGGAGTAGTATTTACAATAGCCTATGTACCTTCTTCTGTATACTTTAAATCATCTCTAGATTATTTATAATACCTAATATGATGTAAATGCTGTGTAAATAGTTGTATACTGCATTGTTTAGGGAATAATGACAAGAAAATAGTGTTACATATTCAGTATAGATGCAACCATCTATTCCTCATCCCCTGAATATTCTCCATCCGAAGTTGGTTGAGTCAGCAGATATGGAATTCATAGATAAGGAGGCCCAACTGTACTTCATTTGATCCCCCAACCTCTTGGTATCATAACCTCAGAGAATTCAGGAAACCAGCTAATGATCTGAGTGACTTCCAACACCTTTCCTTGCTCTTTCCAGTAAGCTATGGCTGCCAAAGTCATTTGAAGCACTGGAAGTCACAGTGTTTTATGCAGACACTGAGAAGCACAGTTAGTTTTAATGCTATACGGTGAAGTAGGAATTAACTGGTAGAAAATAAGTTCTGCATATTAGATGCAGAGATGCATACAGGTACATGTTAAGGAATTACACTTGTTGCTTTCTTATTTCTAGGAAGCAAGTAGTAGCAAGGGCTACCAGTTTAAGAACAATTTTAGGGGTAAACTCAACATTGAGGAAATTATTTCAATGTTGTTTATATAAACTGGGAAACATTTCCATTTCTGAAAACTTTCAGGGAACATCAGTGTTTCCAAGAAATGTGGTTCCTACATCATGCATTTCTTTGTAGATGAATTGGTGGAGGCATTAAACCTTTGGTCATTGAAATGTAATAGGATCTCACTAATTAACTTCATAATGTTGTAATGTTAATATCTCTGAAATAAAGATGTGGTACTAAGAGTGTAGGCTGATAGCTTCTCTGTGCTTCACTTACCTTATTTGTAAAGTGGGTATAATAATGTAATAATGAGACTGGCAGGACTAGAGGATACAATATATACAAAGATCTTAGCACGATACCTAGCACTTGGTGAGCACTCAGTAAAGCTTCCCTAACCTAATTATAAATGTAAAGAAGTGCTTTAACACTATCTCATTGGATCTATTATATCAACCTCTTGGAAGGGAGGCATAGAGAGTATTATTATTTTTATGCATGAATTGGATGGATTCAGTTATTTCATTTCTACTAAACCCACATGAATGAGGTTGCTGGAGAGAAAAACAAATGTGACTTTTGTTTTTTCTTTTGCCACACCGCATTTCTGAGATTTCTTCTCAGCTGGGTCTTTCACAATGCCCAATGCCCAGCATTTTTTTTTCTTTGCATTGTAACTGGGGACCAACCCCAATTACCAAGATTCTTGCTGGCTTTATATTCTTCTTATACTCTCCTTTCATTTGCAGCACGTGACCTTGTCTCTTACTTCATAGGAAATAAAGGCCACTGGCCTTAAGTATCTTTATTTTTCTCTTTTCTTACTCTCCCTTTGCTGCTCCTACCCCCATCCTATCTCAGGAGGAATCAGAAGGTCCCTTTCCTCATTGGTACCATAGATTCTTCCACCTGTGTTCACCACGTCATCTTCCCTCCTATCTCCCTAGGGACCTGGCTTCTCCATCAGTTATGCTCCCTTTCTCCTCTCACTTTCTGGTTTTGTTGTTTGTTTTGTTTTTGTTTTTCTTTCTTAGGATTTAATCTTACTCAAATCTCTCACAGTAAAAACAAATTTTCTGTGTAGTGGTCTGCTTTCAACTCCTCTGTCCTAAGCATTATGGTTCAAACTTCTTCAAAGACTCCTCTACCACATTTGGTTCCCAAATGTCACTCTGTGGACTGACTCTCT